AGTGGCTGCAGGTGGAAGCTGCTCTGGAGGTGTTGGACTTGCCGGCCATCTGTGTTGCATGTGTAGATTTTGGGGCTGCAGTTCGGAGGAGGGTAGGATCCCACTGTTCCCTCCCCAGTGTCCCCGATGGTGGGTGTCATGCGTGGGAGCTGCTCCGTCCCGTGCCGGCTGGTGCCCTGCGATGCTGGCTGAGCGATTGCCTTGGCTGTGCTTTTCCTTTCTTTAAGATAAATGAAAGGGAAGAAGGCTGTCGGAGGACTTGTTTGCTTGTAATAAATCTCAGCGTGCTCTGCTCTGCATCCCATCCTTGTGGGGTTTGGTTTTTTATGCACACACCCCCCTGAGTGACTGGAAAAATAACCTGTACAGTAACGTCACATGCATGAAGGCAAAGGATCGTGATTACCTGGGAAAGGATGCTATTTTTCCTGCCTTTTCAAATACCTGAGGGATTTTAACACTTAACACTGTTCACAGACTGTGTATTGAGTACTGAAAGAAAAATTACTGTAGGCTTTGCACCCCCCTTCATTTTCAAGTGGAGGTGACAGGTGAGCTGTGTTCAGTTGGCCAGAAGACATTCAAGAAGGCAGGAGAGCACAGATGTGGTACCTCTGCTCCCAGACAGGGAGGTGGGAAAGGGGGTGTCAGGGGTAGCTGTCTTGGTTTGTTTTTCTTTTTTTTTTAAAGCTGAAATCAAGGTTTTTCCACTCACAAATCATTTGAAGCTAAGTTTCTTTATGAATAAACACGATTGCTAACATATCAGAAAAAAAATAGGCAGAATTCTCTCACCAAAATTTTTCTGCATCATCTTTAAATGACATCCCCCGCTCATCCCTTCTGTAATTAATTTAAACGTATTTGACACTAGCTTGGAGGCAAGTTTTGAACTTTCTTTATCCATCACCATGATTTCGTTGCTTTTCCTCAAGTCAGTGGTGAGTATACTTGAATTTGGAAACTGGTTGTTGACTAGCTCTCGCTTGTCAGCCTTTTTCTAGGCTGGCCTTTGCAATGAACACCGCGGTGTGCCTGTGTATGGGAGAGCATTACGCTTGGTGCCAGGAATTGACTTTGGGCATCTGTGAGTGTTTTGGTTTAATGTTAGAGGTGTTCATTTTAAAGTGAGGTAAACCCAGAATAAGAAGCATTAGTTCCATGGTTTTCAGGCTTTTCTATTTCTTGGGAATCATATTTGTATGGTGTTTTGACTCATTGCTGCACCTGATGACCACCTGCAGAAATTAAAAGTTGGAACCAGTTTTGGAGCCCACAGGGAGGGGGAATGAGTTGGTTTATTCACAGGGTCTCAGGACGATTTTGTACTTTAAAGAGATTTGTATAAATAAGTTATTTTAGTTCCTTCATCTTGGATTTGTTTTGTCTTTATTTCGTCCTTTCGCACAGTTGGGAGATTGTGTTTGGATTTGTTTTGTCTTTATTTCGTCCTTTAACACAATCTCCCAACTGTGTGATAAATGAAAAGACTAAAGCTCTTCCATCTCATGCAGTGGGTCTGCTGCAGGTGAGGCTCTTGCTACTGCTGTGATCAAGACTCAGGCTGTGGTAGTAGGATGGGCGCTTTACTGCATTTTTAATAATTTTTGCAAGACTCCAAAAATATTGCAAGCATCAGCATGTTAATTGCGCTCCTTGTTTCAATACTGCTGCTCAGAGCTAGTGAGATCCTCATACTTCAGTATCGGAGTTATTTTTAACAGATGCTATAGAAAGGTTTGCCTCCAGAAGGGCTTTCCCCACTTGCCTTGGCTCGTGTCTTTGACAGCCGATGCAATAGCATTTGTTGATTTTTATTTTCCCTGTAGTACAGAAGAAGCCCCGGTGGTTGGTCTAGACCACATTACCCAAACCCAGAGTTTGCATGTTTTGCTACACCTCTGGCCATCCTTTCCTTGCGTGATGGTTGAAAGCGTGCTAGTAATACCTGCCAGGAAACTTTTGGGCCAGTACACCTCGTTTTTGTAATGTAAAAGGATTAGCGGGTGCCAGGTGGCATCAGGCAATCTCTTGGGCGAAAAATTTGTCATGTGCCTCTTTAGACATATCGGTCCAGCTGCAGCTTCCCACCAAGGAAACCCCTAAAACCCCGAGGACCAGAAGCTGAGAAGGTGAATCACAGGAGGAATAAGCATTTTTTTCCCCATTGCTTATTCTCTAGCTATACATGTTTAGTAACAGGTGCCACTAAATAAGGTAACTTAGTTTATCAGTTTTCAGTAGTGACATTTGAGATGCAGAAGTTAATTTGCATTGAATTTTACAATTAATCCTGCTTAAAGCATGCTCGTCTGCTTTTCTCCCAGCCGCATGGCTGCAAATGTTGACTGGCAATTACAGGGTTATTCTTAATGTACTAACTTTCCCCAGGTAATCCTTAAACCATAGGTGTGTTTCATCATCTTTTATTTGGGAAAGCCCGAGCAAAGGGAGCTGAAGGGCTTGCTGAGACCCTCTGCAGCAGCAGTGGGCCAATTGCTTTGAACATCTCAGGGTCACAGTTGAAAATGGGAAAGAAAGAAGAAAGCTGGCCTGAAATGATGTGTTTCATCATCGTGTTCCTGTTAAGACGACTTCAGCATGGTGTTTGGAGAATAATCCTGCTTTCTTACCTTAAAGTTGGCACCAGAGGGCTTTGTATGAGACACATCAGGAGAAAAATGAAGATGAAAGGGTTTTTTTAGTTTTTCTGGTCTCTTGCATCCAGTAGTGCAAATCTGACCACTATCTCAGTGCCTAGTTACAAAAAAAACTGAGGAGTTGGCCCTTTTTTATTTCCCTGTCTGCAAGACTGCAGGGAGCTGTGCTGCTTGTGTTACCCCGTGGAGCTGCACAATGCCTGCTCCTTAAGGCAGGGAGGGGGAGAGGATTGGTGGGCATTTAGATGCTGACTCAACACTTTTCTAAGCACATTCACCACTTATGAGGTTGATTTGAGATATTTGGACCTGTTTCTTATCCTTTAATAAAAGATGCTATCTCATGCTCTGCTAAAACTTGGGATATTTGAAGGTGGTTGGTAGAAAACCACTGGTTTGTGTCTTTTGGGCTGAAATTAGGCATATTATAGTAGAAGAAAGTATTGGTGCTGCTTTTGAAACAGTACTGACTGCGAATTTTTCTGTCTCTTGGGTATTGTAAAACTTCTTTGCATTCTTCAAACATGGCAGAAAGGACTACCTCTGCTTTTTAATGAAGAACACATACTTTTTCTCCAAAGGAGTTTTCCCTCTCTTTTCCCCAGCACACGAGTAGAGGAGAGGCCGGTGTTTTGCGTCGTGAGTAAACCCCAATGTCTGTATCAGACGACAGTAAAAAGTGCCATCTTTTTTCCCAAATACTGTGTGGGCCACTCAAGCACAAGGTGCTAAGAAGCAGAATTTGTCTGGTTGGGAGCTGCTTCTCGCCAGTGTAGTCCGTCCAAACCCCTCCAGCCCTGGCGTTTCATGCATTTCAAATGCAGTAGGAATCACTTGGTGTCCCACTGGGAAAAGCAGCAAAAGGCTGGCTGGTATGCTAATAACTAAAAAATATTTACCCCCAACTTAGCATTAGCATAGAAATTGTAATAACTTGTTTGCAAGCAGCCTAGTTGTTACATAGTGTAGCTGAAGAGTGTATATATTAAAAGTGTATATAGCCAGTCATGTCTGGAGCCCTGCCTGCACACAGATGGAGAGCAAGGCTGGTGGATCTGCCGGCTTTCATCTCCCCACCTTGATCTCAGTCGGATGCCTTGCTGGCTTTTGTGTTAGCTGTGTAATTAGGCACAGAAGAGTGGTTGAGGCAGAAATGGTTAACTCACTGAGCAATATAATGTCAAGTCAGTGGTACTGAGTTGTTCCATAGGAGTTTAAAAATTAATTTTGTTGTTAAATGTCATCTGGCTTGTGATCAGCTGTAGTGTAGGTCCTATGTTTTCTGATAAATTTGAAGGAAATCAAATAAGGGATCCTGAATGTTGAGATCTATGAAACCGAAGTTGGTTAAGTCTAACGTTAATGTTTCTAGGGCCACAAAGGGGCAGGGAGGAGGGAAGGAAAAGATGAAATCTGCATTATTCATCTAAGCAGAGACGTGGTGCTCAAACTCAGTACCTTCCCAAGTTGGGAGAATTGCCCTTCCCTTCTCCCTGCAGCGAAAGCTGGGAGAACATAAACTAGTGCTGGAGAGATGAATTAATAGAGAAGACCCTTCTCTGCTGAAGGGCTTGTGGGAGGTTCTACAGGGGCCTCACAGCAGTGTTTGTAAGGGTCTTGAAGGGGCTTGGGACAAGGAGAACTTTCTGGGACTGGGGAAGATGAGGTCTGGAAACCTCCATAAACCTTCCCTTGCTGAATCCACCTCTATGGGGCTTGGAGCAGAGAAGAGCTACAATGATGATAAGTTTTTGCAAGATTTTTCTTCCCTGGTTTATATATCACCAGCCCCCTTTATAGCAATTATGGAACCGCTCCTACAAATACTTCTTTTGAAGCACACACTTGCACGTTAGCTCAGTCCTGCGCAGATTTTTGATCAATCAGAAAATGTCACTGCAGCAGCCAAATTCTTTGGATGTTTATTCAGATGTCCAAGCTGGAAGTGCCTGTGAAGAACACCTTAGTATTTGTTCTTGCTTTTCACCCCTTTGGAGACCTGTGGACACTAGCTTGGTTTCAAGTTGAAGTAATCATCCTGCCTTTTCAAGTTCAGTTCTACAAACGCTGTTCCCCTGCGAGATAAAACTAGGAGGGTGAGATACAAAGACTTCTTCCAGAGGTTGTCCAAGGAATAGCACATAGGGAAAATGTTGACGTATTGATGGAGGCAGTCTTGGGGGAAGCGAATATTCAAATGCGTTAGGATTTCTCCTTCAGCAGTGCTTCCTGCAACGTTCATTTTTTCTCACAGTGCCTTTTTACGCCCTTCCCCTGGACGGAGCTTTCTGCTGCACAGCCTTGTTTTCATCTCCCCTTTTTTTTTTTCCCCCCTTCCAGTTTGAGCGGCATGACCCGGTGGAGGGCCGGATCACGGAGCGGCAGTTCGGCAGCATGCTGCTGGCGTACAGTGGGGTGCAGTCCAAGAAGCTCACTGTCATGCTGAAGCAGCTCAAGAAGCACTTCCAAGATGGAGAGGTCAGTGGCGCCGGTGGCAAATTCGGGAAGTTGCGGTGGGGGCAGCCGTCCCACACCATGCTGAGAAATGAGTAAGCAATCTCTATCTTCTCAAGAAAAGCACCCACACCTTGTTAAGCAGCATGGGGAGACATGCTGACTTTGCAGATGATAAATACTTTGCCAGCAGCAGGGAGATGGGAGAGGTGGGAGTGCAGTGGTCAATGTCCACATCAGGGTGTAGGCTTGTCCCTGTTAAAATGGATGCTGTAATTTTCAAAATTTAAATTCGCTGAACGGCACTCTGGGTCTGGAGCCAGAATAAACATTGAAGACGTGTTCCTAGTTACTGGCTTGACCTTGGATTAATTAGCTGCTGTGACTGGGCAGCTTATTATTTAGTTACGAACTTATGTGAAAAATTATTTGAATTACTCGTGATTTAGAGAGGAATAAGGTTGCAGATCCTACACTTGTAAATTTAGTGAGAGACCTTGGAATAAGACATCCATACCGAAAGGACATGCTTTATCAGTAAGGCAAGTATGGGCTGCTAAATTACTTCAGTATTAGAATTTCACATCTGCTTCTATAAAGATGGATTGTTCTTTTATTAACTAGGTTATAAGCAAGCGATGCGTCAAAATGAGAATGGATGGAAAGTCTTTGGCTGCGGATTGGGTTGGTCTGACTGTTTTAGAGCTGCTTCCTCCTGGCATCAGAACTGGCGTTTATTTCTTAACTGGTTTAGATGCAAAGTGTGTTATAAAACACGAGTGTTGGCCGGGGTCTAGTCCTTTTTTGTCCCTTTTTGGTGCCTTAACTGGACTCCTGTGATGTGCAGGAATCCTCAGTTCATGTGAAGCCGTTCCAGTGACCTTTTTCCCCCATTTTCTCCCTCTTTCACTGGTGCTGGAGGAGAATTTGGGTGTACTGAAGCAGTGGAGCACGTAGACTAATAGGTCTCTATTAACTGCAAATAATGCCAAAAAATTAAAAACTGGAGGAAACTGTTAGCAAACCAAAAGGCCATGCTCAGAGTTGTGTTCCTGCCAGAGGAGCTGTGGTACCTGCAGCTTCTTGTGGCCTCAGGGTGCCAGAAAGAGCGGGTTTTTTGCAGATTCTTTCATGTTTTGTAGGAAAATAGGCTCAATATTTAATAGGCTGTTATCAATAGATGGTGTCAACATGTCACTGGAGCTGAGACATGTTGCTTGTTAATATTTGGAAATCTCACTTCTCAAGCTTGCTGTCTCCGGCTTAAATGAGACCACTGATGTTTCCAAGGTAGTGTCTGTTTATTTGATCTTTGAGCGAAACGCTGCAGATTTGGCTTTTCCAATACCTCTGCTCCTCTTGAGTTTTAACAGGGATCATTTGATTTCTTGCGGAAAAAATACTTAACTGTGATGTGTCTAACAGAAATATCAGCTCTGTTGTTAATGTTCCCAAACTGTCAATTCTTTTGCTGTGATTTGGGTTTTCTTTAATACATACACACACACTTATTGAACAGTAGCTGGGTGTATGAGAAATTAGGCAGAGGGAGTTATTTTGGAAGGTTTCTTACAGCAGATGTTTTCTTCTTTTCATGTGTAAGCCAAGACCCTGACATCTGTGGCAGAGGAAGAACTTTTTGTTTTTACCTTATTCCTCATCCCCAAATCAGCTAGATTGTGTTTCTATTTGCAGATAACTGGATTCAGAGTAAGTCTTTTTCTTTCTTTATTCCAAGCACTTTCAAGGAGAGAAATTGGGGAATAGGACAAAAAATGACATTTGGAAGAAACAGAATTGGTGGAAAACACATGATTCCTTAGACTGGAGGGAATGAAAGACCCAAAATCCTAAAATGAGATGGCCTCTCTGTTAACAAGTACAAGATATTTAATGGCTCGAGGAGATGTAAAGGATGCAAGAAGTGCCAACCACTTTGCAGTGGAGGCAGATAAGCCTTTTTTGCAGCCAGGGCAGCTCAGAGTCAGTACTTATGCAGAGCTAGAGAAATCAGGCACTGAAATCCTCCACTTCAGCAGGTTTTACTTCACAGAGAATCCAGCCTCGTGCCTGACTTTGCGTTGTCTTTTATATAAGAGAACCTTTTCTTGAAAGTTTGTGGGTTTCTTTTTTCCCCTGGGGTACTTTAGAAGACCATATCCCTTGCAGATTTGTGTGCAGCGCTTTGTATCTAAATACACTTACGTACTTTTATTGGATCACCCTGGTGCAGCTGTCAGTGTTTTTATGTCACTTAAATTTCCCCATCTCTTTAGAAACAGGACTGCCGTGGCCAGAATCACATTAACCGTCTTTCAAGCTTTCTGGATAACTTATTCAGGGATGCGCTTGCAAAGTTTTCTTTGTAAATGAATGGAGTATTAAGCCAGAGAGTGTTTTCCCACTTGAAACTGCATAAGCTCGACGCTGGCGTTGCTTCTTCCTCTGTGTTTGTAACCCAGACATCTGCAGAGCAAGCAGCTGTTTCGGTCGGGCTCTGCTTTACTCCCATCGTATAAAAAGGGAGTGGAGCCGGTGCTATCCACTGCTCTCCCTTCTGCTCCCAGACCTCAATGAGACATTAAAGCCACCCAGTCACTTCATTTACCCTGCAATACCTTCCAGTCACTGAACACTTTGTAGGTCAGAGAGGTTTATGATGCAAACATGTTTTGCAGGAAGAATTTTTCCCCAAATCCCTTCTTTTCATGCTTCACTAGCCTACTCTTACAGTAGCCTAGTATCATTATCTGCACAGTTTACTAACCTACTGTAACTTCCCTCTACGCCGAAAGCAGTAGGGGCTTTGACTTGCTATTGCTTTCCAAAGAAAGTGGGAGTAAAATAATTTTAATAGTGTAATGCTGGGAGAGGAATGGCAGTAATTGTACCAAACGTACCCAGCAAGCTTTACCTTGGAAATGCAATTTACCTTGTGAGTGCTTTCTTACGAAATCTGCCAAACATCATCTTCATTGTCTGATGCGATTAACTTTCTTGCACAAGGCAACCCCGGCAGCCTCCAAAACGTTAAAGCTCTGGTTTTAATCTAACCTTCAGCCATTTTCCAACATTGTTATTCTACATTCCTGCTTTTGGGAACGGCATGTTTTCTTGTATTAATCGATAATCTGCTTTCACTTTTATTTTTCTTGAGGAAAAACCCTATCTGGCCCTGAATACATGAACTCCTCTGCATGTTCAGCGAAGCTGCCACGCTCTTTGTTTAAAATTGCCTACGACCCTCCCCCTCAAGTTACACTTAGACAGCTGCTTTTCTCCTAGTAAAAAGGACTTGAGTTGTCGGTAGTATTTACAAGCAAGGTATTTGGTTTATGTCTCCCTAACTGCTAGAAAACCAAGCTGACTCTTCAGAAACTAGTGATTCAGGTCATCTTCTACACGTGCTTTGGGGGCTGTGTAGCATATTTTTCTGTTGAGATGGCAGAGGGTGGGAGCGGGATGTAATTCTCCCCGGCTGAAACCTGGGTTCCCAGGTGAAAAGCCCTAACTCTTGCAGAAGGTGTTTGAGCTGTTGTAAGATGCATGTTGCAAGCAGATATGCGCTTCTGGAGTCTGCCTGCTTATGTATTGCTAGTGTTACTTAAATGATGAAAGGATTCAGGCTTATGAATCAACAGCTAGATCTACAAATGCTTTGAAAGAAGCGATCATCCAGATCACATAATCGCTACCCTAGTGCTCTCCAGATGTGCAATTTCTTGTGATTGCAAATTAACACAAGCCTCTATTATATAGTGGAAACATCTGTTGGTCTTTCAATGGAGATGTGAATAACTTACAAAGAGCCGAGCAGCAGTGACAAACACATCGACGGGGAATAGATAAAAATTCCCATGCTCAGACTTCTGACTGATGAAGGTGATCATTCATCTGTCAACTTGTCAGTGCAAGCCTGAGGCTGTCCCAGTCTCTGATTTTGGTAGCTGGAAAGGAGTTAATGCTGATGCCAACCTCAACTATAGGATTCATCAATAAAATACTAGATTTCATAATACTGATGGCATTTTTGCTACAGAGATTCAGTATCTCTGTCCACATGAAAGCCCAGATTTGTAGGATACCCCCATATGTCATTGGTTTTGCTTTTTCAGCTGGTGAAAGGACCACAAGTTTACATATGTAAGCATGTAAACCTTCCCTGTTACCCACTGGAGTAATAGCAACTGCAGTGTTGGTACTAAGCAAGGGGCTGTTTTGCACAGACAGGCCAATGTTTGGCCTTGACATCTGCCATTTCGTTGTGGAAAATTCCAGGAAAATGCAAAATTAGAATAGCTGCTGGGATGCCTTGCGGCCACTACCGCAAACCTCAGATGTCCCAAACAGAGCAGGTAAACCACAGCACAGTGTCTTCTGCTGGCCTGAAAGTGGCCGCACGCCTCCTGGTTCCTGCAGGCTTTCCACATTTTTAGTGCTTTGCTCCCAGGCAGGAGCATGTCAGTCAGGAAACGCGTAGCAGGGAAGTGTCCGGACAGGTATTCGAATTACAAAGATCTTTTCTCCTCTAGATCTATTGTACAAAACAGAGGAATCTTTGCAGTACTTCCTGCAGAAGTACCTGATTTATTTGATTTTTTTTGCTAGGACAGTGTTTTATTTAATTCTGCCGTACATCTTTTAGCATGCCACTTGGGAAGCGGAGCAGGTATACATTTCAAGAAAGCTTCCTGTACGGTAACTGGGGATTTTTTCAGATCCGTTGTCCATGTGTGCATTTTGCTATCTCATCCTTTTTGGTCTGGACCCATGAATCCAGGGCTGACAAAGCCTGCTGTTGGATTTGTGGGTGTGCACGCTGTGCAACATACATCAGCGGTGTATTGCCACATACTCAGTTACAGCGAAGATAGGAACTAGCTGCAAATTTTCTGTAATTCTTCTGCTTACAATTCTAGAGGCACCATGTCTGTATGAGAAGATCATAAAAAATGTGCTTTTTCTTTCAAAAAAAGATAGGTGGCTTCTTCCCTGATTAGAATGGAAGAGTTTGAACAGGGTTACAAGTGATCGTATAAATTTGTATTTGACAGCACCCGCTGAACATCTGCTCTTCTGTCCAGACCATGAAATTGTGCCGTGTTATGCAGTTGGGATTTTTAGTATCTTGTTATATCAGTCTGTTGTGTTAAACAGGACAGGAGGAGCCTGAACCTGAACTCCTCTTGACAAGCTGATTTATCTCTTCCAGAGAGGAAAGCCGAGTGGTTATTACTGTGGTGATGATTTACCCCCTCCATTGGCTCCAGGCTGTGGCCATGGTGGGGGAGTTTGGAGGCTGCAGCTCTTGTCCCAGCACTGATGCTGGTGCTAAATGGATCGATAAAATCGGGTGTTGTGTAGTGTAACTGGGTGGGGGTCCCAAAGCTGCGCTCGTCAGCAGCCGCTCTCTCAGCGGGCTCCTTGCCAGTCGGATTGGTGCAGAGAGGAGCATGTCGCTTATCCCCTGCCTGCCCATCGGCTGCACTGTGCTGCAGCAGTGCCAGCGCTGAGGGATCTCAGGATGCATTTCCATGACTATCCGAGTGCGTGGCTGTTGGCGCTCACTGAGCACACGTTCACCCATCCCAGGGCAAGCCAAGCCCCGGGCAACTGTGCTAGTAAGTAGAGCAGACAGCGATCCAGCCCCGCAGCCATCCTGCCACCAGCAGCAAAGCTAACTGGGGCACATCTATTGTGCTGTGGTTTGCAGTGTCACCTTCTGCGACACTGCGTAAGACATGGATCCCCCCAGGGATCCCTGAATCTCTTGGGAGAGACCATGTAGCGCTTGAACTATTTCATTATTGTCATTGCAAGTGTGCCGCCTTGAAAAAAATATATAAATGAAACTGCTTGCAGCGGTCTCCTGCATCCCAACCACAGGCTTATGGTGTGTCTGCTCTTCTGGGCGAGAGCTGGCTGCGGAGCAAGGGCCAGAGAAATGCTTTTCGGTCTCTGCCACCCCTGACCGTGCATGGGGAAGTCCCTTCCCGTCGCACGACTGGTGGGGCCAGGAGGGGAGCAGAGGCAGTTAACAAAAGTACGGGTCGCAACCTATATCTGCAGGTGCCAAGGTAGGAGTGTTTTGAGTGTGCAGATGATGCTGATGAGTCACTTTGTTGTTTGTAATCCAGGTAGTGTCACGGTCTCCTTTTCCCATCACTGTAAGACCGTCTTTTCTCTGTCCTAGGGGCTGACGTTTGAGGAGGTGGAGAGCTTCTTCACTTTTCTGAAGAACATAAATGATGTGGACACAGCTTTGAGCTTCTACCACATGGCTGGAGCTTCGCTTGATAAAGGTATTAAAACTTGTGAGACGGACAGGCACTGAAAGCTTGAGGGAGCGCGATTCATGCTGTATCTTTGAAGTTGGGAAGATGTTGAATGAGCACAGGCTGAAAATGTACCAAAGTTGCAGTTCCTCCCTGCAATGAGAGCTTTAACTTGTTACGCCATAGATAAAGAGGGATTTCAGGTTTTATACTTCCCCAGCTTTAGACATAGAGCGGAAAAAAAGGCTGAAATATATAGCCTGAATAGACTAGGAAGCAGTAATTTCATGGTGACTGATTAGTAAGTGGTGATATCATGGGGTATCTTCAGCAGGACCATTCAGGCCTGATGCATGCAGAGGCAAGATGACCTAGTGAGTGTATCACGGGCTCTGGGACCAGAGCACGGGCACACCAGTGTTTCTTCTTCATCCATGTCTTCTGGAGTGAGGTGTTTTCTCCTTTCACGAAGTACTTGAAAAATTATTGTTGGCAAAGACAAGCGGTATTATAAGAAGTATTCTTGCCAATTCTATCTTCTGTAGAGGTCTCCATGATTGATGCGGCAGAGGCACTAACCAGCAGTGGAGCTGGTGGTAGGAACGTTTCAACCCTTGTTTTGTTTCAGCTTTGCTTAAAAAATGGGAGGCTTTGCTTAGAAATAAGAGCTGTGTGGCCAGATGCTGCATTTCTGATCTGAAATCCAAGTAATGGCAAGCACCTTTGGAGCTCCCAGGCACACTGGAGGGAAGGAGGGGGAGTGCTGGAACCCCACTGAGGTCCCAGACTGAGCACTAAAGTCTGTCCAGAGGAGGCTCTCTTCAGATAACCCACAGTCCAGAGACTGCGCGTGGCCGGAGGAGCTGGCTGAATAAACTTCAGAGCTGGTGTTTCCTGGGGAGCTTGGTAATAGTGTCATTTATTGATCAGACCAATCCATATCCTTCTTCATCTCATTGTGTTTTTCCTTTTCTGAGCTAATCCATATCAGGTATGTTCTCAGATCTGACACACTGATTTAAAAAAAAAAAAACAAACCACAAAAAACCAACCATACATTTTAAAGAAAAAAAAAGTCCAACGCTCTGCTGCCAGGATTTGTCACAAGTGCATGCTTTTCTTTTCTATAGATCTTTTTTTGATTTTTTTTTTAAAAACACTCAGTCTGGGAATATGAAAAAAAAACAATGGCAAACTCATTAAAAGTTTTTTAGGCAAAGTGGAAACTCTTGTCTACTAGAAAGTTAAAGCTGATGTATTTAGGCAGCTGCAAAATTAAATGTTTCAGAAGTCAGCTATTCTTCCAGCCACTGCTGTTGTGGAAATGTTAAGACATTAATAGGTTTTTGGGCAGTGGAACAAAGGGAGTCAAATGTGTCACACCTCTTCTTGTGTGTGTCAGCAGCCTTCCTCGTCTTTGATTTTTTTGGGGGAAATCATCTGTACTTTTTGTTTTAGATCACCGTTATCTTAAGACTTCAAGTTAAAAGAACTTGATAGGATTTTCTTTCATTTAAAAGTAAAAAACATGAAGTACAGATGTGCTGCTGCTGCGCAGAGCCCTTTCTGCAGCGTCCCACAAGGAGGTAATAGCCCAGTGAATCCAGTTTACTCAGTGTCTACAGTAAAATAGCAATTGCCCAGTCATGCAATATGTATTTGTGGAGTATTTAGGTCCGTGCACAGTTGGTAAATCAGTGTGTGATTATGTGTGATTAACGAGCTTGTGCTGGAGCCACAGCCATTGAGCTGGAAGTCCTTTGGCTGGGGTAAGAAACCTTGGGGAGGTTTGGTGGTGTGCAGGGCATAGCTTCAAACTGCTCGTGGGCTTGGCTGGTCCCAGACCCCCGTCCCTACCTGCAGGGTCCCGGCTGTCGGAAGAGATTTCCTCAGGCTTGGGCAGAAGAGAAGGGTTATCCTGCAAATCCCCTCTTCATGTGTGCCTGGTAGCTGACACGAATCACCCCTCGCGTTCTTCTGTGCTGCTCAACCCAGAGATGCTCCTGTGTATCTGGCAGGAGGCATGAAGAGAGCGTTTTGCTGTGGTCCTAACGAAGGTGCAGAGTGAGCTGCAGTGATACACCTGGGTTTTGCAGCAGGGACCTCTGTGCTCCCATGCCTAAATTGTCTATGCATTACCCATTTCCATATGCGTGCGCTTTGAGTCTGGATATTACACCCACAAATCAAAGAAGCAATAAATGGAGTGTACTTTTCCAGAAGTCAAGCTTTCACAAGATTGCTTATTAAAAACTAGTAAATGTAAAAATTACTCATCATGTGGGGAAGAGGATAGTTTGTATATCAAATAAATTGCTGCTAACCTAATGCAGTAAATGTTATTATAATTTTAGAAGGGCCGTTTAAAATTTAAGAGGAAAAAAAATGGATGGCACCAAACAGCCATAGCTTGACAACCTGTTTTCTGTGTTGAATTGAAGTAGCCTCTTTTTCTAAAAAGGATCACAAACCTGTATTTTAATGATACATAGAATAACGCACAGATTATTTGTTAGTCCATCTTTCATTTTACCAGAAACATAATAGTCGTCATTCTCTTAAATCATAAGCATTACTTAGAAAACTTTCCCAGCCTGGGCTTACAGCTGGCAGCAGGACAGGAGCCGAATTTGTCACTTATTCCCCTTTCGAGGCGAGGGTGTGAATTGCACTTTTTTTGGCAACGTCTGCAGCCAGACTTTCCAAGCAGCTGTTCTGCTGGTGCTGGCAGAGAGCCATGGTATAACTCGTTGTGTTGTAGGGCAAGGCACAGGTGTGCTTCGCTAGAGATGGGCCAAAGTGAGGGGAGATGGCTGAGCCTGCTGCTTGCTCCGGTGGCTCAGCTGGCTCGGAGCGGGACTGGAGCCCAGGAGGGGTTAATCGAAGATTGTTTTATTTGAAGTATGGAGCTTGAAATGGCTGCAGACTTGACAGGGAATTTAGAAGGAGGTAGACGTGAGTTTTGGTTGCAGCATGTATTTGTCATCGAATTGGTGCTTGCTTTAACCTGCCTTCGGAGCTGGATGAAAGAAGTCAGTCCCCCATGGAGGCACAGCTCAGATCACTCCTCTGGAGTAATGGCATGTAGTCAACGCTGGTAGTTGCATGGGGAGGACTTCTGTAGGGTAGGTGAGGTTGGCAGGGATCTCTAGAGACCCTCTAGTCCAACAGGGTCACCTACAGCAGCTTGCCCAGGGCCACCTACAGTCAGGTTTTGGATATCTCCAAGGACGGAGGTGCCGCAGCCTCTCTGGGTGTGTAAGAAAGCCTGGATGAGTATTTGCGATAATTTGTGAGAAGGAGAAGAGTTGAATGATGAAATCTGGTGTCCTTGCAGAGGCAAGTCAGGGTCACAGGTTGTGACCTTTGCTGCCCTCACACCAGTGGGTTGACGTGTGTGTATGTGTGCGTCCTGATGGAGAGGGACAGTGGAAGTGCTTGGCACCATGCCCTCAAGCAGGGAGGGGTCTGGAGCTCTCCTGCCCTTTGGTTTTAGTACATGCACAATTACAGTGTGGTGTTTGCTGAGCACTGATGCGACGAGTTGGGCAAAGCTCTGTCACAGCAGAGGGTGCCTGTCCAAGGCTTTTAAGAAATCAGTTTGGTAACCCTGAGGAGGACAAGCTCTCCATAGATCAACAGCCCTGGAAGATGCTGAATACGTTTCAGTTTAGAAACCACTTTCTGTGTTGGAATCTCCTTTCTTTACTTATTTATGACTGAATATTACGTGAACAGTGGATCGGCTCTGCCTTTGGTCTGGTAGCTCCGCTTTTTTCCCAGAATCGTGATCTCCATGACTTTTCGTCATGCGCCCTTTGATGTTAAAACAGTTTCTACTCAGCTGCAGGGCTGCAGCCTCACATTTTGAGAAGAAAAAGAAAAATGTGCTGTGCCACAGGATTGCGTAGGGTTTGTGCATCTCTATTCTGGATGGATATTCCGGCACATACATGTGCAAATTATTTGAAGAAAGTTAAATAGATTTTTGCTAGTTATATTGTCAGTGATGGCATCCAACGTTTCCAACTGGGATGCTTAAAATGAAACGTGCATATCAACGTGAGACCCTACGTACCCTGATTTCTGGGAGCCCAGAGTACGTGTCCTGCCTCTGCAGCCTGGGACCGTGCAGGGCAGGGAGCCCTGCTCCCGTCACCCTGGGTGCCGTGTGGGAAATGAAAGCAGCAACCCAGCTGCCTATTATTTTGGCCAAATGTGTGATTAATCTCAAGACAGAGGAAAAAAGTGAAGTTTGCCATCTGGCTAGGCTCTGGCCCATAGAAAAGCCCTGTTTGTAAGCACTTGGTGAGGCATTACTCATGGTGCAGTTCTGGGAATTGGAGTGAAAAAAAAGATAACTGTGCAGACATTAAACTTGCATAAAATAACTCAGATGGCTCATTAAAGGAACCAGTGGGAGACACTAACACTTGAAATTTGAAAAGCCGCATAGGTTTTCAAGATAGAAACGTGGAACTCATTTTCGGTGGTATAAAATGCAGGCGACTTCCCCGTGTAGAGATGGATGCAGATGCAGCCATCCCAAAACCCCAAATCTGGACAAGCTTTGTTTTAGGAGATGTTTCCCCAGACAGCACCTATTTCATTTTGCAAAATGGTAAAGAAATGATGCTGGGAGGTTTACTTCAATTTTATTTGCCTCACCAAGATACCTTGTAGTCTGGAGCGTGTGCGTCAAAGTGGAGAGCAGAGGCACTTTCCCCTTCCTTACGACTCCTTAAAAACCAACAAAATCGTTACTGAGCACAGCACAGTCACTCAGCCCCTGTGAAATAACAGTTTTGCAGAATTTTTGCATCGAGCGAGAACAATGTGATGGAGGTGACACTTGCGCAGTTGGATTAATAAGAGAGGAAGCAGTAACCGGTGGCCGTAAGTACAAATTACAGCTGGTAAAACTGCAGCTGTGAAAAATAAATAAGTGGATGTCAAAGAGGAGGGAGGGATCAGGCAACACCCTGTAGAGATGGAAGGAAGAGGGTGAAAACTCAGCAGAATAACATGACTTATAATTAAAGTAATCATTCTAACTTTTTTTTTCCCTATAAGGCTATAGCAAATAACTTATTCAGTAGCGTACCCGGGGCACCAGGAGGAGAGGATGGTATCAAAGCTTGGTTGAGCACCTTTAAAGAAGATTTTCATTTAACTCCTTTTAAATGTAATTCAGTGTTGCTGTCTGAGGAAACAGAGATATACTTTTGCTGTCTGAAGGTCTGGGCCTCGGGTAAGAGGTGGCTTACAGCGCCTAAAACCTCTGCCATTGGGCAAAGTTGAGGTGTTTTAAAGTGCCTCCCCAGCAGAAGGACTTTCTGGGGAAAAAATAAGCTGAGAAATAAGTTTATCTAAACTCTTTTCTTTTACCTAAACCTCTTCTTTTTCCTTGAGCTTTGCGTGTTACTGAGGTCCCTCAGCAGTGCGTGTGGCAGGTAGGAGTTACAGCGCATGTTTTGCAGCTGGCTGGAGCCAGGGCTGTGTTTAGGGAACGAGCATTGCCTAATTGGGGAGGAGAAAGGTGCCTTTTATAAAGGCATATATAAAATCCAGAGGCAGGGCATTTATCTTGGTAAAAAGGACTATGCCATCCACTGTTCGGCTCCAGCGTTTGCTGCCACTTCGTGTTTGTGGCATTTGATCAAAGAGGACCTATAAGTACTGCATTATACTCATGCAATTTATAGTCACTCTCTCCTCTGGTTTGCGGTATGTGTGATGCTGGCCATCAGTCCCTCCCTCTGGATCAAGGGGGAAAGCTGAAGGCAGCTTTGTCATTTAATTTGTGAGCGTTTGATGTCAGTGTGAGGTAATTAAATGGTGGACCTTTAAAGCCCTTTTTGGAGGGCTGCCGCCATCTAATGCGCCTGCTCGCTTGTGTTGCAGTTCGTTCATTCGATCATGTTGCATCTTGCTGGCTAATTTGTGCGTATTCAGAAGAGCGCCAAAAGAAAAGGGATGCACGTTGCTGGCTAATTTGTGCGTATTCAGAAGAAGAGCGCCAAAAGAAAAGGGATGCACAGATGTGGTGGCTGTCCCTGCGCTTAAAACATGAATTCCCATTTTCTTTGCTATCCAGGTTTTATTGAGAGCTGTGCTGTGTGCGTGGCACAGTATATTCTGCAGCCCGGTTGGCGTGGGTGGGCTGGGAGAGACGTGCAGTCTCCCCACGGCTCAGTTGGCAAGGTTTGGGCATAAGACTAGGGAAAAAAATTAATTCAAGTTTTCTTTAATGATTACATTGCCTCTGCCCTCCCCAAAGCAGGCTCTGGCTGCCAGCAGGACACGCACAGAAGCAGTGGCTGTATCCTGACTTACAGTGACAGAACTGAAATATAGAGTAATAACTGCAGACCAGAGCTACGTCTCTCACGTAGGAAAGGATTTTAACTCAAAAAGAATAATTACAGGGAAACAGCAGGTGCCTACTTGAGATTAACCCACCTTCTGTTTAATTTCAGTTCTCTTCTGCATCATTTAGTAAAAGGAGGGATTTTACAGGTGAAAAGAACCCGATGGTGGCTGTGGATTCCTCCCCCAAAACCCCAAACCTCACTTAGGGGAGCAGAAATGGGGTGGAAGGAACCAGTAATCTGAACATTCATGGGAAAAAAAAAAAATCCTATTAGAAACACTTTATGCAGTTTCTAATTAATCTGATTATGGTATAGATTGGGTGCTTATTTTTTCCTTTCTGACACATAACTCTTCAAAATTTCTGAAGGGCCAATAGCTCTGCAAAGGGACCAGAGTGCATGAACCCAGAAGGATGCTGTGGGTGAAAGCAGAGGCTTTTTTTGGTTTCAATCTGATTTTGTGTCGTGCCACTTCCTTCTTTTTCCTTGCTGAAGGGGAGCTCTGCAGCTAAACATTCATCCCAGTTGCTGTGGGCTCGCTGCTGCGGTGCAAAGTGTCTCCGGTCAGGGTTTCCTTGGGTCAGACTTTGCAGGGAAGCAATTTAACTTAATATACACTCATGTTCATGCAAAGCCCTTCTGTTTTATCGAGTATCTGGAAGGGCGCAGGGTGTTTCAGCCCTGGCTAACAGTGACAACTGAGCTGCTCTTGCCTCCCCTCCTTCCTTCAATTAGCAGCTGTCAAAGGGAGACTAGAGGGTAGCCAGATGCACACAAATACATGTTGGGAGACAGCTGAACCAGCCCAATGATGGGTTTTTTTTCCCCTTTATGCAGCAAAATCTACTGCATAACCCTGCCAGATTGATAGCTCCGCAGACTGCTCTTTTCTAGAGGCGTGAATAAAACTACCGCTTGCTTCTTTGCTGATGAACTCAGCTGCCGGTCTGGGGGGGGAAGTGAAATAATTCGTTACAACTCTTTTATTTTATTGCAAGGTTAACCTTGTCTGCTTGCTGCAGAGCCTATCACAGGAAGAGGGTGGATGGGTTTGTTCTGCAATTACTGGCCCTGGGTTGCTTAACAGGAAAACCGGTTTTTATTATTCCCAGCTTGTTGGAATAGTTGGTTCATAGAGTATCATCTTTGTAACACTGTCAGAAGGAGCTGCCTTGTTGATCAAGCCTGTCAGGAGAGGTTTCCCACCTGGTGTTTGCTGTAGTGCTGACACTTCTTCCAATTTTGTAACCAAAGGGGGGGGGAACCTCATCTCAGTGTTTTTAATGTTTATCTTGAACACACAGGTATTGCCACGTCGGTGCTCACCAGCAGCCTCTCCACACCCCATGCGGTGTTGCAGTAGGAAGGCGAAGGCTTTGAGGAGCCTGGTTTTGAGGCATGTGCTGGGGCTGGGGACGAAGCTTATTTCAAGCCTCTTTGAACATGACATGTTTTCGTAAAGGCAGTTTTCCGTGGAGGAACAAGAGTCTTTCACTCCTCTGCCTGCGTTTGGCAGATCACGATGTCTCGCTAACCTTGTGCCCTCCCTCCGTTGCAGTGACGATGCAGCAAGTGGCCAGGACAGTGGCCAAGGTGGAGCTCTCTGACCACGTGTGCGATGTGGTGTTTGCGCTCTTCGACTGCGATGGTGAGTGACCCCAACCTCACCCCATTCCTCTCAGCCAGGCTGGGCAAGAGTCAACCCGGGAGAAGAAATAGAGGGAAAAAATGCCAGCCATGAAAGCTTGCCATGGCCTTGGCTCTTCTTGCCATGCCACCATCCACTCTTTGGCCGTGGATCTGTACTGATGCTCCTGCTCATCTAGGAAGGGTATCTGGTGGTACCCAGCTTCCGAGATGTTGATCTTAAAGCACTGGATGCAAGCATTTGGCATGCACAGCTTCCCCCCCACACCCTCAAAACTCTGTTTTGTTTAACAAAATGAGCTAATGTGCTCCAGTGTTGGAAACGAGCCTATCTGGTAGTTTATCTCCAAAGTCCTGGACAAATATCAGCTTAACTAATGGCAGCTCTGTGCCGTGCTGGGAAGCTCATTGCTTTGCTGGCCCGCAGAGGATGCGAGCACTTTGGGGTAGCTTGTTGCCACAATGAAGCAGTCTCGAGTTGATTTAATGAGAATTAGTGGAGTCTTTGCCACCAGGGGATGATGGCAGCAGTTCAGAACTGGAAAGTAGCAAAATTCTGCATTTGCCCAAAACTATCAAGCCGAAACCAGCGACCTTGCTGGCACCCTGCTTCTCCAGCACAGTCACTGGGATCTGGCAGCTCTGAGTAGCAGCAGTGATGCATAAATAGACAGTTGTTTGCTTTCTGATATAAATATGAACATTAAAAAAAAAATCTTTATTTTATTCCTTGTTGCCCCTCTTGGCTTCAGCCCCACCTGCTTCTTTGCACATTTCTAAGGTTGCATCTCTTCTTTTATTTTTCTCTGTGCTTCAGTGCCACTTTGATACGACCCTCAAGCCAGATGATCAGGCTGGAGATTAGAGTGAACTGAAGCGTAGCCAAATATTCTCCGGTTGCATCCTCTTGTAGGAGAATCTGCTAAATATTTTGATAGCAAACCTTTGGGGGGAAAGACTGTGGTTGCCAGAGGAGTCCCTGTAAGGAAGGAATCAAGTGGAAAAGCAGGCGCAGACTTTTTTTTTGTGTTGTCACTCCGTCGGTGTTTATAGACGTTACCATGCACGCATCAAAAACCTGCAGCACCAGAGGGAATTTTACTCACCCCTTGATAGTTTGCTGGAATTTCACTGCCCAGGTTTGCATTCGGATGTGAGGCAGGAAAAAAAGCTCTCAAATGAAGAAAACACGTTCGTGAAATATAATGATGTGGTTCCCCGTATCAGCCAGAGAGATTCTCGCTCCTTTGATCTGGGGAACCGATGGCACTGGCAGGTTTGTTTCTTGAGGGCTGATGTCCCTCCTATTTCTTCTGTGCCCAAAGATGGGTTGCTTTCCTGTGCTGCTCCCCAAAAGCTAAAACTGTGCGCCATAGGCAGGGGAGCAAAACAGGCAACAGGATATGTGCGGCATCGTGGCAGAAGGCATCAGCTGCTTAGCAGACAGGTGTCCGGCTGTCGGTCGCGCCGTGGCTTGCTGTCCCCTCCGATCGACCAGCATCCTAAATAAAAATCCCAGAGGTTTTAATTTATTGGTGGTTCAGCAACTACGGAATAAAATTTGTCCCAATTTACTATCATCTTATTTTTAACATAAATTTAGTTGACATAACTCTCAATAACCTCACTAGATTACTTTAATGAATCTTCCCTTCTATTCCATTAAGAAAAATCTGTGCTCTGTTACCCTGTGCTCCTGTAATTTCTTAAACCACTTAAAGCGGAGAGTTTCCTGTGGGGCGCATGGGCATTTGCTTTGCATTTGCTTTTCTGTCTTCAAACCCCAGTGCTCCAGGCCCTGCAAGACGTGGTGGTGCCAGGCTAAGCAGGGCAGCGTCCGTAGGGTTGGGATTTAAATGCAACCCTTGCTCAGCAGGATATTTTGGGAGGTTGAAGCCAAATGTGATTTCGGTCTCTGCAAGAAATGACACTTGTGGCTGCTGCCCTTTAAAGTTAGTGCATGCGGGGAGGAGGTGGTTGTTGGATTTTAATGTTTCTATTTTTTTTTTCGTGGTGCCAGGCTAAGCAGGGCAGCGTCCGTAGGGTTGGGATTTAAATGCAACCCTTGCTCAGCAGGATATTTTGGGAGGTTGAAGCCAAATGTGATTTCGGTCTCTGCAAGAAATGACACTTGTGGCTGCTGCCCTTTAAAGTTAGTGCATGCGGGGAGGAGGTGGTTGTTGGATTTTAATGTTTCTAATTTTTTTTTTCTTCTTCTCGCAGGGAACGGCGAGCTGAGCAACAAGGAATTTGTTGCCATAATGAAGCAGCGCCTTATGAGAGGCTTGGAGAAGCCCAAGGACATGGGCTTCACACGACTCATGCGGGCAATGTGGAAATGCGCCCAGGAGACGGCGTGGGACTTCACCATGCCCAAGCAGTAGCAGGGTCGGGGAGGAGCACCCGGCTTCCCTGTCTCAGCCCTGCCACCATCACCTGCGGGTGAGTGCCACTGCTGCGGACACCTGCAGGGTGGCACCAGGCTCTGGTGAGCCCAGACTGTTCATAACAGGAGATTTTTGTAAATCAAAGTTAGAAATCAAAGCCTGTTGTATTTGCAGCTTCTGCTTGCCGCTGGCCCTTTAATATTCTTCTCTCAGGAAAAAGAAAAGGACTTTTCTTACTGATGCCACCTCCACTTCGTGATGCGCCCTGCCTGCAGAGCTGGGCATCGAGCGAGCTGGTGGGGCTGCACCCAAATCACTTATTTAATGTTGTTAAAAAATGGCATGGGGGTTATTTTAATTCTTAGATTGCTCCTAAGAAGCCATGGAATTCATGGATAGATCATACCGGTGGGACCTAGGAGCAGGCAGGTGCTGAGAGCACCCCAGGATTTCAGTCAGCCAAATGCTCTGTGCTCCCCCAGACTGTCGGGGGGTGGAGGGGATGGGTGTACCCGCAGAGGGGCTGCTTGAGCTGAGGTGCTGCCTCTGGTGTAAGAGCAGTTAAAAGTAGTGGAGCAACTGGCTCTCCTGCCCATCCTGCCTTGCATAAGTGACCTGCTGCAGGAGGTCTCTAATGGGAGCCCTCTCCCTGGGGAGTTGCTGTTCTGTAATGGGAACAGGCTGAAAGATGTTATTTGCTGAGTGCTGTCCTCTCTGTAAAGTATTGTGTAAAGATGTTGCTCACAACAACATGGCTCGTGGCTCATCTCTTTCGATTGCTTCAGGTCTCCACCTAAGGCTGGTGGCGAGTCACTGGAGCTGGGGCGTTTTGGAAGGGGGGGGAAAAAAATCATGACGACTTTCCAGAGCTGGAAAGCTGAAGCCCAGAAGTCAGCACTGGAAAGGCCAGAGCTGCCCTGTTTGCTCTCCCGTGTTGCCAGCCAGCCCCAGGCAAGCGGTCGGGTTTGGGATGGCCCCGTACGCAATCTGCTGCGGCCTCTGTCTCGCAGAGAAGAGCACTCTCTGCGGGTGCTTAAAGGACAGCCACCAGCTCCAGGCTTTCTTTGAGGGGATGAAACACTTCTAGAATATTTTGATACTGGGATATTGACCCTGCTATCGGGGATCACTCCATCTACTGTCACCTCCTTCCTCTCCTCTCCTGCAGTTTGCCTGCTCTCCATCTACTGTCACCTCCTTCCTCTCCTGCAGTTTGCCTGCCGGTAGCACGCTCTGTTCAGGTGTTGGTCTCTGTGCTGTCACACACAATAATGTCACATCGATGCCGTCATGTCAAGCAGCGAGGATGCTGGGGTGCAGGCTCTGCCCATCCTGCCCCCAGGGACGGTTGTTCTTGCTGCCTGTCCTGCCTGCTCCCCACAAGCCCACGGGCAGCTGAGCAGTCTCCATGAAAATGTCACTTGTCTCAAAACTCTCTCTTTTGGAACAAAACGAAGCCTGTTGCATCCCCCGGTAGGACTAATCTATCAATCATCCTCTACTGCGAAAGCCGCGATCAATGCACGGCAAGTCTTAATTGCAGAGCGCCGTTCCCCCCCGAGAGCGGCCTCATCCCTCGTTAGCGCTGCTCTCCTGCGAGCGTCTCCTCCCTTCGGCCCTTTCCAGGCACCGTCCCTGCCGCCAGGAGCCGTTTCAAAGGCAGGAAACTACCGGGGCAGGATCTGTGCGCGGGCGCTGCGAGCAACGGGAGATGGGCCGGGCGCGCCGGCTCGGCGCCCCGCTCAGCCTCGCCTCCGGCGCCCCGCGTCCAGACTAGCTCCAGGCCCGGCCTGGCGTTTCTTCCCCGAGCCGGTTTTTTCCAGGGCCGGGACGTCCCGGGAGGGGTTTTCCCATGGTCGACGGTGTCCGTTCTCCCCGGCGCCGGGCCCGCGGCAACCCACCCGCCC